GCAAAGGTACAGTGAAAGAAAATGTGCATTGTTGACTCTACTTCTTTACACCTTGGACAGAAAGCTTGAGCTTGTATTCCTCTGGTTTGCAGAGTTTCACCAATAGGCAGAGCTTTTTGGATGATCGACCAGAGGAAAACTTTCATCTTGGGAGAAGTGGTACAGCTCCAAACATCTTTTATCTAGTCGAAATTTTCATCCAATGCATTAAAGGATCCTCTGAATTCGTTTGTTGCTGTATTGTACCCAGATTTTGTGGAGTAGATACCTGACTTCGTCGGGAGCCATATAAAGGAGTCTTCTGCTCCTGTTTGGCTGGGGTGGATGCTTTGGATTTTGTCTGAGAGGAGAGGTAGGAACTCAGCCACTCTTATCTTGTTCCATTTTAGATCATCGGTGAGGAGGTCTGATACCATGAGATCCATTCCTGCTTGTGTAACAGGTCCATACGGTATGGTCTGATCCTCCAGTGAGATCCAAGCATCTTTCCAAACACTGGTAGTTCTTCCATTTCCTACTACTTTACCAATGTTGCCTACCAGGAGATCGCGCCCATGAAGTAAGCTCCTCCATCCGTGGGAGCAAGCAGTGGGACACGTCGTTTTGAGGAGTGATTGCTTATGACAGTACTTCCCGAGTAGAATCCGGGCTAGTAGACTATCTGGTTTGGTGAGTACTCTCCACGCAGGTAGCTAAAAGCAAGACATGGAGTACGTTGGGATGGACGTGAGGACTGACTTTAGCATCGTTAATTTCCCGGCCTTGGACAGAAATTTGGTCGATCTTGTTGAGGCTCTTTGTCGGATCCTGTCAACTATAGACGTGAATAGGTCTCTCTTCTTCCTGCCGAAATGCTCAGGTAGTCCTAGGTACTTGCCGTTTCCTCCTTCTCTTGGTATATCCATAAGTTCCTTTATATGGTTTCTTATCTCTATTGGGGTCTTTGAGGAGAAAGAGATGGATGATTTGTCCTTATTTATGCGTTGTCCCGAAGCTTCTTCGTATTGTAGAAGAATGCTTTTAAGTTTCTGACAATTTTCTTGTGTTGCATGACAGAAGAACATCGTGTCATCAGCAAACAGCAAGTGGTTTATAGCCGGACTGTGCCTTGCGACTTTAATACCACGTAAGCTCCCATCCTCTTTAGCTTTAGTGCAAAGGCCCGATAAGACTTCCCCGCATAGGATGAAAAGGTAGGGAGAAAGAGGATCTCCTTGCCTTATACCTCTTTGTGGTATAACCTTTCCTTGTGTTGTATCATTGATGAGATAGGAATAGGATACTGTAGTAATACATTGCATGATCCACTTTATCCATACCGCATGAAATCCCATTCTCTGCATCACTTGCTTTAGAAAACTCCACTCCACACGGTCGTAGGCCTTAGACATATCTGTTTTGACTGCCATTGTACATCTGACTTGAGCCTGTGATGTCTTAAGATAGTGTAGAACCTCGTGGGTAATGAGAACGTTGTCAGATATTGCTCTTCCTGAAGTGAAAGCCGATTGGTTCTCTGAGATAACATTCTCCAAAACTGGTTTGAGTCTGATAGAAAGCATTTTTGAGATGATCTTGAAATACACGTTACAAAGAGCTATAGGTCGATAGTCCCCAACACTCTTCGCTCCTGAATGTTTGGGAATTAATCTGACGTGTGTTTCATTTTGTGATGTCCTGAGGATACTTGAGTTGAAGAAGAGTTGAATTTCCTGCACAACGGCTGGTCCTACGATGCTCCAGTTCGCTTGGAAGAAGCTTGCTGAGAACCCGTCAGGACCCGGTGCCTTGTCCGGATGTATTGCAAAGATTGCTTCTTTAACTTCCTCTGGTGTTGGTTTCTTTATGAGCTCCTCATTTGTTTGTTGTGAAATGCAGGGTTTAATGGCAAGGTTGACGGTGTCTGAAGCATCTGAGTTTGCTGAGATGAAAAGATTGTTGTAGAATTTGCATATCACCTCTGTGATTTTATCCTCTTCAAAGCATGGTACTCCATTTTCGTCTTCCAATACTGAGAATCTATTCCTTGCTTTCCTGGCTTTTGTTGTAGCATGGAAATAACTGGTATTGGAGTCGCCTAGAATCAACCAAAGCTGACGACTTCTTTGTCTCCAAAATTCCTCTTCCTTTTTGTAGGTCCGGAGTAGCTCATTGTTTAGCAGGAAGATTTGGTTTTCATCAGGAATAGGATTTGTCATTGCAGCTTCCAGCCTTTCTCGGAGAGATTCCAGTGTTATCCTACTGTTCTCATAAAAGGTTTTGCTCCATTTGCAGATTGGACGTCTGCATAGTGCCAGTTTTTCTTCGATATGGAGGTAGCTGTACGTCTCCCATACCTCTTTGACTAATTGTTTTACTTCCTGGTTATCCCTTAGCCTTCTATCGAATCTGAAATTTTTTTGATTTTTTCTTCGGGATGTATCGAGGAAAGTGAGTAGGGGTCTATGGTCTGATCCTTCGAATTTCATGTATTGACTTCTGCATGAGGGGAAGAGCTCTGACCAGCTGCTATTGCAAAGGGTTCGATCTAATCTGCATTGGACCACTTGTAGGTTCCTAACCCCTCTCCAGGATAAGAAGTTGCCATGTTGTTTAACATCGAACAGATCATTTTGGGACATAAAAGATCTGAACGCACAGAAGGTGCCTTCTGCACGAACCACACCTCCACTCTTCTCCCATGGTGTGTACTCTAGTTCCTTGAAATATATAAAAAAGACTCTGACCATGTGAGTTTTAGGAAGCTAATAATTGTTTCCTTATTATATAGTCAGAAGAATTTGATGTGCTACCTAATCAATGGAGTACAGTCCCACTGTAATTCACATGTCATGAATCACCTGCTAAAATAGTTAATTAATAGTGTGTTAGGTACATAATTGTATAATAATGGCGAAATTTGAAATTATGTAAGTCGCAATGATGAGAATTAGTTAACAAAATAGTGTAAAATTTGGTTATTACAAGAACAAGAGTCATCATACAAAGGCAACACCAGTCAACAGACCAACTTGGGCAAACATATGGAGAAAAGTGAATTTTATGTATCCCTTTGTCGAGATCAGCATATATCAAGCTTTCTCAATCCAGGCTAAAAACAGACTAAAAGGTCAGGTCTGAACGGGTCAAAAGGCTTATTTGAATACTCCAACCAAACCTATTTTAGCTTCTTTTTTTTGGTCAAACCTATTTTAGCTTTAAGCCGCTGTTTGTCTGATTGAATCAGTGACATCAGTTTTGAAGGGAGAGATCAGTGCGGATGCTGGGTGAACCCGTTGTAAGGATAATGGAAAGCTTCAAATGGAAGAAAAACTTGAAAGGCTTGAAGCCTTTTAGTGGGTCTGTGGTAGTGTGGATCAAAATCTTTTAGTGATTTTTTTTTCTTTTCCATATTCTTGAGTTAGATATAGCTTTTACAGGTAAATTATACACTGAATGTGTGCCAATATGTGTGTTTACAACAATCCAGGTCCCAGACAATGTCGGACTCATTCATCACAAAAAAAATATCATTTCTCTACCTTTTGAATTTTTTTTTATCATATCTGAAGATAGTGAATGTTTTTTTTATTCATTCACATAAAACCTGTAATGTCCTTGAATTTTGTAATGGCTTCACTAGATGACATGGGAAGCAGGTGTAATGTCCTTGAATTTTGTAATGGCTTCACTACCTAAAATCTGAAATTGGTGTACAAGGCACATCTCTTTCCTCCCCCAAATTAATAGACGGTTGTAGAGGTTGAAACTGATATGTCGATGTATTATTTTCAGACGTTTGCTGAACATTTGAATAATTAAACCCTTCATTTTTCTCAATTATACATCTGCATGTATGATGCATGCATTATATTAGACAGATTAACAAATCATAATTAGATACTGAACTTATTAGATGAACTAAAAAATTAGATATTGAACTGTGAGCATGAATCCCATTTTAGAGTTTCAGTAAGTCAAGGTTTTATTACAAGCTCAAGAGCCAACAAGACAAAGTAAGAATGACTTATTCTTGGGTTCACCCCCTAGGGTGAACCTCTAGGTTCACCATTCAATAGAATTACATCATTTTATATTTGATATCTTTTTAAAAAGGAAACAAAATCTTATTAAGTTATATTGGGTGTTTTAAATATAAAAATATATTAAAAAAATAATAATAATTAAGAAAAAGGAAAATAATTATTAAAAAAAATATTTTAACATTAAAATCTAATCTTAGGTAAATCACAAACATTTGGATAAATCTATAAAAATTTAGTGTTTATGATTTACCCAAGAGTTTAGGGTTTAGAATTAAAGTTTAGAGTTTAGTGTTTATGATTTACCCAAGGGTTTAGGGTTTAGGATTAGAGTTTAGGGTTTAGTGTTTATGATTTACTCAAGGGTTTAGGGTTTATGATTAGAATTTAGGGTTTAGTGTTTTAGTGAAAATAATTTTTTTAAAGATTTTTTTTATAAAATTTACGAAAGATTTATGATTTACCAAGGGGTTTAGGGTTTAGGACTAGAGTTTAGGGTTTAGTGTTTATGATTTACTCAAGGGTTTAGGGTTTATGATTAGAGTTTAGGGTTTAGTGTTTTAGTGAAAATAATTTTTTTAAAGATTTTTTTTATAAAATTTACGAAAGATTTATGATTTACCAAGGGGTTTAGGGTTTAGGATTAGAGTTTACGGTTTAGTGTTAAAATATTTTTCTTAAAAGAATTATTTTCGTTTTTATTAATTATTATTATTATTTATTTATTTTTGTATTTTTATTTTTAAAACATAATATAACTTAACAAGATTTTGTTTCCTTTTTTAAAAGATATCAAATATGAAATGATGTAATCCTATTGGATGGTGAATTTAGAGGTTCACCCTAGGGGGAGAACCCAAGAATAACTCAGTAAGAATAATAACAAACCACCTCAAGAGTAAGCGAAACAAGCATAGACAGCTAGTGAATGATACACATATGCATAGCTTTATTTCTTTGCAAGGAATCAATACTTATTTAGAGAGAGCAATAAGCCTTAAGAGCAGATAAATCCCTCTTATAGGTATCAGACCTATTGATGATGTTGAACTTGAAGTAAGCCTCAAAATCAAAAGGCTTATAGAGAGGAGGATGCTCATCATCGACCATCTCCTCGAGTGCATTTATAATCAGTCCTTCTTTGGGAAGCAAGAACAGTCCAGCCACGTGGCGATCTTTCTTCCCGGTTATAACCACACGGTGAAACGGAGGAAACACCCTACCATTAAATAGTACCTACAAAACCCATATATGATGTTGATAGAATAATCAAAGATAAATTTACATGATTGAAACTCAAGGAAGCTAAGCTTAATTTTACATGAAGTGAAGCTCCAGCTATAACGAGGAAAGAAGAGTCTTGAGTTGGCTTAGCTTTGATCCACTCTTCACCATCTCTGGCTTTGATCTCCACGCCATCTACTACGTCATTTTGACAAAGAATTGTAAGGAAATGGCTATCGATATGAGGGTTGAGGCCTGGCTGCTCCTCTGACTTTTCGTCAAGTCCTCTATATTTAATAAGACGAAAGTGTTTCCCCGCTGAGTTAAGGTGCTCCTCGATGTATTTCTCGAGGCCAAAACTCTCCATGATCATCGTTCTCACCTTCACGTCTAATGCTATTAAATTCTCCGCGAATGACTGAACATTCTTTCTGCAAGAAAGAGAAAAAATCATACCAAAAAAAGAACGAGATACAAATTTACAGAAGTATTATTTATTTCATCTATGTTTTTATATTTCAGATATGGAGGACTCTTTGTCACATCTAAAAATATAGTGATTATAAACAAGGTTAAAACACTAATATCCCGGTGGAACAATTCTATGACAAACGCATTGATGGTATCTTGCAACAAAAGTAATATTAAAATATTATTAAAAAAAGAGAGAAGGTCATAAAAAAGTGGAAGATGTATGTCTAGGAAGAGACTTTGAAATTAGTTGGAGAGACTTGCATTATATGTGTCTCTAGAGAGATCATTTTCATTCCACTAATAATGCAATAATAGAATAGATGTGTCTCTAGAGAGATCATTCAACAAAAGTAATATTAAAATATTGTTATGATTAGTTTTTCAGTTTTCATCTTTAATGTATAATAATATTAAATTGTTAAAGTACTAGATCTCTAGAGAGATCATTCCACTAATAATGCTCTAAGAGAGAAAGCTCTTTGATATATACAAAAAGTAAATAGTTAAAACTAAGATTTATACTCTAAACGAGTTGTATTCATGTTAATAAAATCAATAAAATAATTTTTTGATTGTTTTATTTCTTGTTTCCGTAGTATTGGAAAGAATCCAATATTATTTTAATTTGATAATTTTGTATATATATAGACTTTCTGGTGACAAATGAAAATATTAATTGATAATAATAATAAAAAAAACAAGAGCAGTTGTAAAAAGGTTATTTTTCTTTTGAAAAAATATAACATTTATTCAAAAAAAAAAAAACAAGAGCATATAATTAAGAAAGAAAACCTGAATGTGATGTTGCCTTGAGGCCAAAGCCTGTAGGTCAATTCATCGACACCTTGAGGATTATCTGCACCGTCAAAGCCCATAGCTTCATATAAAGGTAGAGTCGGATGCTGACCAGAGTATCCTCTGTAGAGTTTGTCAGACTTTGTTCTCAGTTTGGTTTCCAATGGTAAATCGAAAACTCTCTCTGAGGCCTCGAACAGCGCCTTACGTAGCTCTACTGAAGCTTCGTCGAACAAGGCCTCGAAACATCCGTAGTCTTCTAGGGCCGTTCGGACTTGGGCTCTCACCGAGTCCCACTCGGGAGTTTCCGGTTTGAGATTTGGAATCGAGAAGTCGATGACAGGAAGGGTTAGGTGAGATTGTGTTTTCGAACTTATTGTCATTAGTTTTTCTTTTAGAATTAACAGTGTTGTTTGTGTTTTTGGTTGTGTGAATATTTTGAAGACTCGGTGGGTTAATATTATATAGGAAGAGAAAGACGATGTGTTAACAACACTATTTTAGTTGGTAACCTATATTTTCCTATGTGCTATCGTCAAAGCCTTTGTATTTAAATATTTGGAAAGTGGTTCTTTGCTGAGTTAAGATGTTCCTCGACGTATTTCTCGAGCTCGAAACTCTCCATGATCATTGTCCTAATCTTCACATTCAGTTCTATCAAAAAAAAAAAAAAAAAACACTTCTCTACAAATGAGTGGACATTCTTGCCGAAGATTTATCGCAATTCTTAATTAGTGCTTTGTAATCCCTTCTTCTGTATTTGTGATATTTCTAAATTACTAAAGCTAATACCATATATAATACAAACGGATACAAACATATGAATATGTAAATCTGCTACGATCTGATAAAGGACTTGAAATTAGAAAGTATGATTAGTATACTTTTAAGAAATTTACTGAAAGTTTTGTTTCAGCATTTGACACGTTCTCATATACTTCAACAAATTATTTATTTAAAACGGTTTATGTATATAAAATCTAAGTTCTCATGTTACAAAAAAAAAAAAAAATCTAAGTTCTCATAAACCTAACAAAAAAATCGGGAGATATTATTTTTATTACGAAAATAGATAATTATTTTACTAATTTTAGATACAGCAAAAACAATTTATAACAGCCTAAATAATTTCTTTAAAATATACTAAAAACCAAACCAAATACTATACAAAACCCCATTCAAGTTCTTTTTAAATTAACTCTTCAATCAAACAAAAAGCTAAACACTATTCTAAGAACTACAAACATTCATGGCCCATTTAAGTGGCATGATCATAACTGTATAAGATGGGAATCTGAAAGGGATGTTGCCTTGAGGCCTACGCTTGTGAGTCAAGTTATCGACAATTTTAGGACTATCTACACCGTAGAAGCCCAAACCTTCGTATAAAGGCATGGTTGGAATCGTCAAGTATCCTTCGTAGATTATCTTGTCTAACTTTATGCTCAGTTTCGTCTCCAGTGGTAAATCAAAAACCTCCTCCGTTACCTTGAAAATAGCCTTTCTTAGAAACGCCATCGAACGTGGCCTCGATTCATCCGTACGCTTCTAGGGCTTTTCGGACTTGGGCTTCACTGAGTCCCACTCGAGAGTTTCCGGTTTGAGATCTCGACTAGAGAAGTCAATGACCGGAAGAGAAAGTGGAGATTGGATTTTGGAAGTTTTCATTGTTAATTTAGTGAATTAGTATTTGCATTCTATGAACATTTGACGTTTACATTCGTTTAAAAACAATATTACTACTATATTTGCATTCTAGTTTCTTATAATATATAAAAAAGACTCTGACCATGTGCGTTTTAGGAAGCTAATAATTGCTTCCTTATTATATGGTAAGAGGAAGTGGATGTGCCACCTAATCAATGGAGTACAGTCCCATTGTAATCCACATGTCATGAATCACCTGCTAAAATAGTTAATTAATAGTGTATTAGGTACATAACTATATAATAATGGAGAAATTTGAAATTATGTAAGTCGCAATGATGAGAATTAGTTAACAAAATAGTGTAAGATCTTGTTAATTATTACAAGAACAAGAGTCAACATAGCAAAGGTAACAACAGCTAACAGATCAACTTGGGAAAATATATGGAGAAAATGAATTTAAGTATCCCCTTTGTCGATATCAGCATATATCAGGCTCTCTCAATTCAGGCTAAAAACGGGCTAAAAGGTCCATTTGAATACTCCGACCGAACCTATTTTTGCTTTAAGCCGTTGTTCTGTCTGATTGAATCAGTGACATCAGTCAGGAAGGGAGAGATCAGTGCGGATGCTGGGTGAACCCGTTGTAAGGATAATGGAAAGCTTCAACTGGAGGAGAAACTTGAAAGGCATGAAACCGTTTAGTGGGTTTCTGGTAGTGTGATCAAAATCTACTAGTTTTTTTTTCTTTCCAATATTCTTAAGCTAGATATTAGCTTTTACAGGTAAATTATAAACTGAATGTGTGCCAATATGCGTGTTTACGATAATCCAGGTTCAGACAATGTCGGACTCATTCATCACAAAGAATATCATTTCTCTAGTTTTTGAATTTTTGATCGTATCCGAAGATAATAATTTTTTTTTTTGTTCTTTTACATAAAACCTGTAATGTCCTTGACTTTTGTAATTACTCCATTAGGTGACATGGGAAGCATGATCAATGAGCATTACCTTTTTTTTTTTTTTGAAGAGCATTACCTAAAATCTGAGAATGGTGTACAAGACACATCTCTGTAACATCCGAGTTGTGATATATGGAAATGTTTAAGAGAATTAATTTGAATACCTATATCATCAAAGTTGATTTACTTTTACCGTCACACATCCGTTTAGAACTTCAAGGTTAATCGTGCTTGGACGGAAATAGTGAAATGATAGGTGACCTATCGGAAAGTGATTCGTGATACTGTGTATATGAGGCCAAAGCATGGAGAAAGATCGGGTGGTGATTTCGAGCTTTAGAAAAAAATAACGGACCGACCGTTAGAACGGGATGGACCCACAAGCCGAGAGAGCGGGCGTGGGTGGTCTATTAACCGTGGGCGGTCGGCTGGTTAGCCATCTCGGTTCTGACTTGAGAGGAATCTTGAGACATGTCGTAGAGCACAACGACGACGTTTCAATCTCTGAGAGAGGGTGAAATGTAACATCCCGAATTGTGATATATGGAAAGATTTAAGAGAATTTATTTGGCTACATATGTCACCAAAGTTGACTTATCTTTTCCGTCACACATCCATTTAAAATTTCAGGGTTAAACATGCATGGGTTGGAATAGTGAAAAGATAGGTGACCTACCAGGAAGTAATTCGCGATATCATGCAAGTGAAGCCAAAGAACGGGGTAAGGTCCGATGGTGATTTTAGGATCAGTAATCAATAATTTCAAATCTTTAGAAAATAATTATAGAACCGACCGCTGGAATGGGAAAAGGCCTACATGCCAAGAGAAAGAACGTGGATCATCCATTAGCCGTGGGCGATCGGAGAGTTACAATCTCCTTCCTCCCGCATATTAATAGACGGTTGTAGAGGTTGAAACTGATATGGCGATGTTTTATTTTCTGACGTTTCCAGAATGTTTGACTAATCAAACCAGGCCTGTCTCTAAGGATGTGTCCAAGGTACATTTGCACTGGACATAAGTTTTTTTGACAGTTTTAGGTATAATTTAGGGACTGTTTTTTAAATTTAAGGTCTTTTTCAAATGGTTTTATATGTATTCATGCATTGGACGTTCTGATTTGTTGAGACGAGCTTGAATCAAATCCTTCATTTTTTTCAAATATACATCGGCATGCATGATGATTATATTAGAAAGATTAACAAAGCATAATTAGATACTGAACTTATTTGATTACCCAAAAAATTAGATATTGAACTTTGAGCATGAACCCCATTTTGGAGTTTCAGTAAATCAAAGTTTTATTACAAGCTCAAGAGCCAACACGACAAAGTAAGAATAATAACAAACCACCTCAAGAGTAACCGAAACAAGCATAGCTAGCTAGTGATCACATGAAACACATTTGCATAGCTTTATTTCTTTGCAAGGACTCAATACTTATTTAGAGAGAGCAATAAGCCTTGAGAGCAGATAAATCCCTCTTATAGGTATCGGACCTATTGATGATGTTGAGCTTGAAGAAAGACTCAAAATCAAAAGGCTTATAGAGACGTGGATCGATGTTCATCATCGACCATCTCCTCGAGTGCATTTATGAGCAGTCCTTCTTTGGGAAGCAATAACAATCCAGCCACGTACCGATCTTTCTTTCCGGTTATAACCACACGGTGAAATGGAGGAAGCACCCTACCATTAAGTAGTACCTACAAAACTCATATATGATGTCGATAGAATAATCAAAGATGATTTTACATGATTGAGACTCAAGGAAGCTAAGCTTAAATTTACATGAAGTGAAGCTCCGGCTATAACGAGGAAAGAAGAGTATTGAGATGGCTTAGCTTTGAACCACTCTTCACCATCTTTGGTTTTGATCTCCACGCCATCTACTACGTCATTTTGACAAAGTATTTTAAGGAAATCGCTATCAATATGAGGGTTGAGGCCTGGCTGCTCCTCAGCGTTTTCGTCAAGTCCTCTATATTTGATGAGACGAAAGTGTTTCCTCGCTGAGTTAAGGTGCTCCTCAACGTATTTCTCGAGACCGAAACTCTCCATGATCATTGTCCTCACCTTCACGTCTAATGCTATTATATTCTCTGCGAATGACTGAACATTCTTGCTGCAAGAAAGAGAAAAAATCATACCAAAAAAGATACAAAATTTACAGAAGTATTATTTATTTAATTTTGGTCAAACAGTTGTATATTTATTTTTGTATCAGAGTTTATTTATTTCATCTATGTTTTATATTTTTCTGTTGGGCATAGCTTAAATTAGGAGTAATTCACTGGGATACACAAGGATGCTGATATCCGGTTTCCAGATTTCCAACTTCCGACCTATAGATCAGACGTTTCTCACCAAGTTAAAGAAAGAAGTAAATGTGAAGATGAGGAGGATTATTTTCCACATATGAAGATATAGTGAATATAACATAAGTCTCACCAACCATATAAACAAAGTTAAAACACTAAAGCTTTTATTGGTAGAGCTGATGATAAATAAGTAGTGATATGTTATATAAGCAGTATGATGTATGTACATATTAAATTGTTTAATAAAACAATTGGTAAAACAGTAGCATCATACTATTTAAAATTATTATAAAAATAGTGTATAATATATTATATTTTTAAATAATAGATTTAGTTATTTCTATTTATTAATATATATATTAGTTTATAAAATTAGGAAAATATATATTATATATATGTATTCAATAATATAAAACTTTGTTTCTATCAAAATAAATTTTATATTTTAAAAATAAAGAATACAATTAAAAAATAGGTTTTTTAACAAGATATTTCACATTTTAAAATATGATAATTTAAAAAAAATAAATAAATTATATTTTGTGAAATATTATTATTTTAAAATATTTAAATTGTAAAATTATTTTGAAAACTATAAATTTATTTTTGGATTTAAACATAACTTTATAAATTATAAATGTTTTTCTAAATGCAAATGCTCTTCTAAAAGTTTCGTATAAAAACATTACGTAAAAAGCATTTGGAAGACATTTGTAAATGATGTTCTAAATGTTTTTCTAACAAATATTGATTGAATAATAAGGACCGTGATGTTTATACTAATGATTGATCAGTCAAGACCCAATGGAAATCTATCAATTGATACATACAAAAAGTAGATATTCAAAATAAGATTTATATTCTAAACGTTGTATTCCTGTTATTAAAATCAATAAACTAAACACTATTTTGATTTTTTGATTATTTTATCTCTGGTTTTCGTAATATTAGAAAGAATCCAATATTATTTTAATTCGACATTTTCCATCTGATAATTTATATACTTTCAAGCGAGAAATGATAACATTGATTGATAATTAAAAAAACAAGGGATTATAATTAAGAAAGAGAACCTAAAGGTGATGTTTCCTTGAGGCCAAAGCTTGTAGGTTAATTCGTCGAAACTTTGAGAATTATCTGCACAGTCATAGCCTATAGCCTCGTATAAAGGTAGAGTCGGATTCTGACCAGCGTATCCTTTGTAGAGTTTGTCAGACTTTGTACTCAGTTTGGTTTCCAATGGTAAATTGAAAACTTCCTCCGAGGCCTCGAACAGTGCCTTACGTAGCTCCACTGAAGCTCCGTCGAACAAGGCCTCGAAACATCCGTACTCTTCTAGGGCTGTTCGGACTTGGGCTCTCACCGAGTCCCACTCGGGAGTTTCCGGTTTGAGGTTTGGAATCGAGAAGTCGATGACCGGAAGAGTTAGGTGAAACTGTGTTTTCGAACTTCTCGTCATTAGTTTTTTTTTTTTTTTTTAAAGAATTAATTGTGTAGTTTGTGTTTGTGAATATTTTGAAGAGTCGGTTGGTTATTATATAGTAGGAGAAAGTCGATGTGTTCACATAATTTTTGGTCTTAAACTTCACTATCATTTGGTTGGTAACCTTAATTGGATTATTAGATCTTACTCCATTTTAATAGTTTTGGAATACAAAAGCAAAGAAAAAAAAAACAAAAAGATTCCTGTACGAGGATGGGTTAAAAAAATGATAAAACACTATATGCATGTATATTAGCAAGCTCATGGTCATACCTGACCTAAGATAAATTATTACAAAACTATTCCTTTTGAGAGTTTTTCTTTTTTTTTAAACATAAAAATTTCATGTCTTAAGAAAACGAACATGGCCCATGTTGAGCTTTCTTCTTCTGATGTTAATGAATAAAGAAACACAATTATGGAGCTTACGCAAATTAGGATTTATTACAAGCTAACGAGTCAACAAGACCAACTCGATCGAATGAACAAGTGCAGAGTGATCAAACAAGACATCTTTTTTTTTTCTAATTGCGAGGCATCATAAATGTTTAAAGGGCACAATAACTCTTGAGACTAGATAGATCTCTTCCCTTGGTATTTGTGTTGGTCCGGTTGCTGAATTTCACGTAAGCCTCAAAATCAAAAGGCTTATAGAGACGAGGATGTTCATCATCTACTATCTCCTCAGGCGCATTTATTATCAGTCCTTCTCTAGGAGGCGAGAACAGGCAAGCCACATACCGATCTTTCTTTCCGGTTATAACCACTTGGTGAAGTGGAGGATACACCCCACCATTCAATAGTAGCTGCAAAAATCCATATCATATACAAGTTAATCACATAATTTAAGAATATTAAATGATGAAATTTGAGACTCAAGCAAGGTTAATTGAAATTACATGAAGAGAAGCTCCGGCAATAACAAGGAAAGAAGTGTCTTGAGATGGCCTAGCTTTGATCCACTCTTCACCATCTTTGGTTTTGATCTCCAGGCCATCTACTACATCGTTCTGGCAAAGTATGCTGAGGAATTGTCTGTCGATATGAGGTTGAAAACCTATATTTTCCTCTGTGTTATCGTCAAGGCCTTTGTATTTAAATATTTGAAGGTGATTCTTTGCTGAGTTAAGATGCTCCTCGATGTATTTCTCGAGCCCGAAACTCTCCATGATCATTGTCCTAATCTTCACATTTAGTTCTATCAACTTCTGTCCAAATGACTGGACATTCTTGCTGAAGATTTATAGCAAATCTTAATTAGTGATTATAATTGCTTTTTCTGTTTTGACATTTCTAAATTATTACAGCTAATACGATATAAATACAAACCGAGAATAAAAATGATTGTATGTAAAGTTTTTTTTGTTTCAGCTTTTGAAAAATTCTCATACACTTCAAAAAAATGTTTATTTAAAACTCAATTTATGTATGTAAAATTAAAGTTCTCATACACTTCAACAGAAATAAACTTCTCATCTCTACACCTTTTTGTATTAATTATAAAACCCCGGGAGTTGTTTTTTTTTTTAATTTCTAAAATTTTAGATATATCTACACTGTAACTGATTTTTCATCATTGATATGTTTATACCATCTCCAATAATAGATATAGTGTTAGAGTTCTAAATCAATTTTTTAACTAAAACTAATCAAATTGAAAAATTAGAAAATTAGAAAATTTAATTCTTTTTTCCTTAAAATGCCACCTATCACAAAGTGGCATCTATTATTTACTAGTGGTTCCAAAAATTCTAATTTTAGAACAATATATATCTAATTTGTGTTTATTTATTTAATTTTAGGTACATAATTACTTAGAACCAACATATAAAATTTCTATGGATCCTCCGTTGGAGATAGTCTTATACCTTAAACTGGACCGTAAGGAGTATCTAAAAAACAAAAATACTATACAAAACCCACATTCAAGTTTTTTTTAAAAAACTAACTCTTCAATTAAACAAAAAGCCCAAATACTATTCTAAGAACTACAAACATTAATGGCCAAATTTTTCTTAAGTGACATGAACATAACTGTATAAGATGGGAACCTGAAAGTGATGTTGCCACTAGGCCAAAGCTTGTGAGTCAAGTCATCGACAACCTCAGGACTATCTACACCGTAGAAGCCCAAACCTTCGTATAAAGGCATAGTCGGAATCGTCAAGTATCCTTCGTAAATGATTTTGTCTGACTTTGTGCTCAGTTTCGTCTCCAGAGGTAAATCAAAAACTTCCTCCGTGGCCTTGAAAATAGCATTCCTTAGCTCCATCGAAGCTCCATCGAACTTGGCCTCGAAACATCCGTACTCTTCTAGGGCTTTACGGACTTGAGCTCTCACTGAGTCCCACTCAGGAGTTTCTGGTTTGAGATCTCTACTAGAGAAGTCAATAACCGGGAGAGAAAGGGGAGATTGGATTTTAGAAGTCTTCATTGTTTTTTGTAATGAATTATTATTGTAGTTTATGTTTTTATTCGGTGAAGATTTGAAGAATCCTTCGTTTACCAAACAATATACTATTATAGGTTTGTCGGCATGGTGAAATTATTAAAGGGCCTACTCTACTTTCTTATAAATAAAAACACACTGACGTAATCATGGCTTCGTTATTATATAGAAAGAGGAAGTTGATGTGCTACCTAATCAATGGAGTACAGTCCCATTGTAATTCACATGTAATGAATCACGGGTCCTGCTGAAAATAGTGGTAAATAACTATATAATATTTGAGAAATTTGAAATTATGTAAGCATGACGGGTTCTAACATTTTATGGACTGTAGGCGATTCAGGAAAGGTTTCAACATGTTTTTTTTTTTGTGGAGGTTTATATTAACTTTTTCCAAAAATTTTGGGGATCAAGAAATTTCATTTGACTTTGTCCAAGACTGGTCATGCAGCCTCCAAGTCATCAACGGATAATTCCCTCGAAGGATAATTTATTATATTTATTCAAAAAAATCACAAGAAAGAAAATGACCAACAAATGTTTCATTATAAATATATAAATATAAATAATTATTTAAATAACAAATGTGTTTTCTATTTTATCAAATTATACATTTTTGCATCCAAATTTTTTTTCTAATTTTTTCGAATGTTTTTTTCAAAATTTGATTTTGAAATTCAAATATTCTTTTTGCAATTATTTTAAATATATATATTTTAAATTGTAAGTATTTTGTCCTAAGCCCCATCCTCTAAAACTGTACCCCTCAGTCACCTCATTTCATTGCTAGTTTAATGAAATATTTTGATCATTTTGATTTTAGGGGCTATAGTTATGATAAAAAAAAAAACATTTTTCTCATCATCAATCACCTCATTTCATTGCCAGTTTTTCAATATAAACGCACACCAGGCTAACGACAGACTACATATTTTAGTGGGCCTAAAATTTCCTCTTTTATTTCTCTTTTGCATAATTGCATTGTGATAAAACTCATTTGAACTATGCTCAATAAGATAAAAATAAATCTATCTTGTTTTAAAATGCTTTCCAATGGTCGTGCGCGGAGATAAGATGCTCCCAAGTCCCAATATACTTCTCGAGCCCGATACTCTCCATGATCACTGCTGTCCTTACCTTCACGCTTAGTTACATCAACTCATACGCAAACGACTGGACAATATTGCTGAAATATATTAATATATCAAATCTTAACTTCTAGTTAATGCGACACACCACTCTCAGTCTCTCAGCAACAGCAATGACACGTCTAGTGGACAAGATGGTCCGCAATCGAGTCTACTCAATGAGGAGACTGGTCTCTCACACATACGAGGATGCCATGAGGCTCTAGTTTGATATGAAATAATAAATTCAGGTTCAGCTACCAGTTTCTGTTTTTGTGACTAATTTATAAACACTATGCTTTGAAGTTACATTCATTGTATAAAAGATTTTTTGTTAGTTTCAAAAACAAAAGTTTCATTTTTGAATAAATTTAACATTCTTTCAAAAAAAAAAAACTTCAAATTCATTCAAAAATTCAGTTGTATATGGCCCCCTCCGTTTCATATTTTATGCTATTCTAGATTTTGTACACATTGTTTTCAAATATACTATATTAATTTTATCAGATCGTGTTAAAATTTCTTATCAATTAAAAACGTATTTATGGAGTCCCTGCAAGACTCCCAATTAGATCTTATTAAAAGCTCAAAAATAACAAACTCAAAGCAAATCAACAAGTGCAAACCAATGATAAAATGATACATAAGTTTGTTTATTCGCGCGCAAGGCATCATAAAAATGTTTAAAGGGCACAGAAAGTCTTCAGATTTGATAGATTTATCCTCTTGGTATTTGTAGAGCTTAACTTCAAGAAAGCCTCAAGATCAAAAGGTTTATAGAGGCGAGGATGTTCATCATCTACTATCTCCTCAGGCGCATTTATGACCACTCCTTCTTTAGGACGCAAGAACAATCCAGCCGAGTACCGATCTTTCTTTCCACTTATAACCACACGGTGAAGCGGAGGAAACACCTCACCATTCAGAAGAATCTGCAAAACCAATACTTGTCTTATATACAAGACTATAAAGGATGAAGAAACTTAAGACCAAAGAAAAATTTGGTTTTACATGTAGAGAAGCTCCGGCTATAACAAGGAAAGAAGAGTCTTGAGATGGCTTAGCTTTGAACCACTCTTCACCATCTTTGGTTTTGATCTCCACGCCATCTACTACATCGTTCTGGCAAAGTATGTTAATGAACTGTCTATCGATATGAGCGTCAAGACCTAGCTTCTCCTCCGTGTTGTCGCTAAGTCCTTTGTATTTAAATAGATGAAAATGGTTGAACGCTGAGTCAAGATGCTCCTCAACGTATTTCTCGAGTCCGAAACTCTCCATGATCACTGTCCTCACTTTCATGCTTAGTTCTATTAACTTCTTCGCAAACGACTGAACAGTATTGCTGAAATGTATATCGCAAATCGTTCACATCACTATGTGCAACTGAAGCATATGCAAGTGCAAGTGAAACACTCGAACAAAATCTCGTTTCAAAATCTTTCTAGTAAACTATACTTCTTGCGTTTCAATTTAATTGTTGTTGTAAGAATAAAACTTTTAGTTCAAAATAAGTGTTTTTTATAATTTCAATGCAAAATTTCTTAACTTTATATGATATTCTATATTTTATTAGTTGAAATGTGGTTAAATTTTAGGTAATGATGTTTTTATTTAGAAAATATATAATATTAAATATTTTATTTTTAAATTTGTATGCACAAATCTAAAGCGATTACTAAAAAAATGGAGGGAGTAATATAATAGGGCTTATATGTCAATTTATTTGTAAGGAAAATAACCTAACACATTAAATATACTTTTAACACATGGCCTAAAAATTGTTGGGATAACGCTGATTGTTTATGATTGATACTTTTGTTAAACGAGTTTTAAATTATTTAAATTGATACCGTTATACAAACGGACGTAAATCTTCATGCGATCGAGCAACTGAATTCTGATTTAAAATTATTTTTTAAGTGACATGAACAGAACTATAAAAGAAGCGAACCTGAAGGTAACGTTGCCATGAGGCCAAAGCTTGCGAGTCAAGTCATCGACAGACTCAGGATCTTCGACACCGTTAAACCCTATGCCTTCGTATAAAGGCAGCTCAGGATTCTGAAGTTCGTATCCATGGTTAATTAGTTTCTCTGACTTTGAATTCAGTTTGGTCTCCAATGGTAAGTCAAAAACTTCCTCCGAGGCCTTGAACAGTGCCTTCCTTAGCTCCACCGAAACTCCATCGAACAAAGCCTCGAAACATCCGTATTCTTCTAGGGCTTTTCGGACTTGGGATTTCACTGAGTCCCATTCGGGAGTTTTTGGTTTGAGGTTTGGAACCGAGAAGTCGATGACCGGAAGGGTTAGGGCAAACTGGGTTTTCGAACTTAACGTCATTAGTTCTTTTAGAATTAAGAGTGTAGTTTGTGTATGTGTTGTGTGTATATTTCCTAGACTCGGTTGGTTATTATATAGAAGGATAAAGTCGATGTGTTCACGTGAGTATGGTCGTAAACTACTCCATTTTATTAGATTTGGAATACAAAAAGACTGCCCATATTATACGCATATCACCAAGCTCTGGTCAGCATGACCTGATTACTAAATTACAATTAAACTAGCATTTCTTGAAATTGTTAAAATTAGCACTGAAAACTATCAAATTTAACAACTTAACTAGAACTTGACCCGTACGACCGTACGGGTACTTAATTTTATATTTTAGTTTGTGTTTGTACTTAATGTTATATTGTAAATGTAATCATATATGTAAATGTAAATGTTATATTTGTATTTTATATTTTTGCATTTTAACGTAAAATATATCATCAATATTAAGTATCATATAAGCAATTCCAACATTTATATAATTAGATCCATGTCTAAAATATATAGTGAATAATTGTTTTAAATGAAAAGTACGAAAATAGAAAATTATGAATTAACTTGCTAATTATAAATGATACATTAGCTATAACATTTGTACGATAATAAAATGATTTCTAAACTTCAACTCAATTTGGAACATATATAAATTAAGATTTCAATTTGATGTAACATATAAGAAATTATAAATGAGTTTAAGTTTATGTACATTTAAACCACGTATATGCGGATATTTTTATTTTTTTCAGATAAATATTTTTAAGTGATAATATATATTTTCAAAATTTATCCGTGTTAAATAAATATTTAATAATGATATATACAAACATAGTAATTCTATAGTTTATATTGGTTGCTTTTATTTTATCTCATAAACCATGAATTATATTACCATCAATTTTACAATATGATCAAAAATGTTTTATTGTTATTTTTTGTGATCAAAATTTTATGGTAATATATAAGAAATTATTTTATATACATTTTCAGTTGGTAAATAATTATAGTGGTGCTTGAAATATATTTATATTGGTGAAGATTAGTTTGGTGGGGGAGAGTGAGACAAATATAACTTTAATTATTACATAAATATTTTGTGATGGCATTAATGTTTATATTATTGACATGTAATATGTAAGTTGAAAAATTTATACTGAATTTTACTGTGAATTAAATTTAGAAATTTTTTATAATTTTGGAAAAGACATGGAATGCATAAAATTAGGAGAAATGATGACTTCATTAATTTTGGAAAAGACAAAGTTTACTTAAATATAGGTTAATTTAGTTACTTCAATGGCATTAAGTTGTAAATAAATTATAAGTCTAAGGGGTAATTAATTTATATTGGTACTTCTATTTTAATAAAATAGATAGTATTATTATGATGTTTCCTTATGTAAATTGTGGCATTATAAAAATAAAACAATTCAAAGTTGAGTAAACAAATAAATAAAGGTACACCATCTCACGTGATACGCTTTACTTACATGTCACGCTTTCTTACATGGCCACTAAACACTAAAATAATACCATCCGGTTCACAATGCCCCTGTTTGTGCAGCGGAGACATTTGATAAAATTATGATTCATGAACTTTTAGAATGTCCTCCAACGTAGTAAAATATGGACAATACTCTTAATTCTCACGTCACTCGCAACTATCATTGAATTTTGAACATATGTATATGACATGTTTCTCTTGCATGACTCAGTTTTAACATTCTTAATGGACCCTCTAAGGCTCTATATCAAATTCACATGTGGCTCATAAAAAGCTCAATATGATATATGATTTAGGCTCAAAATATTAAACATGGCTCAGAGTGTCAAAGCAGATTAATCCGGCCCATATAACTTGCTCTGCTACAAGTTCAGCTTAATTGCGGATTGGAGAGGGTTGACTCACTAAAATCCATGAACTTTCTAAATTGATAACCTTAACCCATCTCAAGCGCACAAAAAAAAGAAAAAGAAACTTAACCCGTCTTGCATCATGATTGATGACCATTGGGTTAACAATGAAAACAAAGAGTTTAAAAAGTATATAAAAAGCATATAATTAAACCAAGATCAATTATAAACTATTACAAGATTAGTTTAAATGATAAAAGTCATCTTTCACCACAAAAGAAAAGAAGAAGATATCCTCAACGTTTCTTAACAAATTCTTTCAAAATTATCATTTGCATAATGTACAATTTAGTCACCACAAAGATGTTAGCCATAAAAAAATATAGAAATTTTGCAAATAATAGTAGGCATGGGCATTCGGATATTCGGTTTGGTTTCAGGTATATCGGAAATCATTCTTATAACCAATAGATACTTATGAGATTTCGATTCGGCTCCAGTTCGGTTCCAATTCGGTTTTGGGTACCCGTTTAATATATAAATCAAATATATATATAGAATATATTAGTTAATATGTTAATTTAAATGATTTAGTGTTTACAGGCTTACATATTCGTCAATCCAACAAGATATCGAATTAATAAAGTATTAATAAATATTAATTGTATTTCAATATAGAAATAATATATATATATATATATATATATTTATAATATAAGAGAATAATAATAAAATATAATGTGGTTTGGTGGAAAAAAATGTTATTACTTTTTGTATTCAACCTAGGTTCAAGTGGGGTTGATGTCATTTTATCTTATATTAAAAAACTTTAATTTGTTTTTTCGGATCTTCGGATACCCATTCGGTTCTCGGTTTGGTTCCGATTCCAATTTGGTTTTTTGGGTATAGAAATATAGAAACCATTCGGATGTTTAAGAATTTCGGTTCAGTTTGGTTTCAGTTTCAGATATTTCGGTTCAGTTTCGATTCGGTTTTTCGGTTCAGGTTTTTTTGCCCAAGCCTAAATAATAGTATGACTTATTGTAATCAATACTACCTTTTAATTTCACCTTTCCAAAAAATCAAAAAGAAACTCAGTAAAGTATATCACAAGAAACCTCCATTAAGATGAAAATGGGGGAGGAGCGTGGGTCCTACGTGGCAAGTAACCGTTACACTCTCACAAGCCGTTCCCATGCTTACGTGGCACGACTTTTCAAATTCTCTTCTCCCACAGCTATTTTATATTATTTTATTTACTTAAATACATATTAATAAAAAGATATGGTCGTCGTGAAATTTACGACAGAAAATCCGACCGTTGTTTGAGTTCATGTTCTTCTTCTTGTCCGAAACAGAACTCACATTCCAAAAAAAGCTTCCGTTTTTTTTTTCTTTCTCTTATCTCAAATACAACAAAACCTAGAGAGAAAAAAACAGTTGATCTTGCTCTTCTCTTCGTACGACGATGTTGGGCGAATATGATATAACGGAGGAAGACATGGTAATCGATGAAGCTCAAGGCTACCCTATAGCTTACGCGAAGATCTGTCGCGATTTCAATACTTTTCCGTACAAAAATGGACCTCCTTTCACCTTCACGCCTTACATTCTTCAGCAGAACGAGGTAATCTGATCAAAATCATATATATAGATCATAGATGTGAAAATTTGATCCTTATAATACTTTTGTATTGTGTTGTTTGTTTGTCCTGAAAGAGTTCAAGAAGCAGAGAAGTAGAACAGATGTTCCCTGTAATTGATCCAAAAGCAAGACCAACTACAAAACCAAAGATCTTCTTAAGTCTTCTCTGGAAACAACTCAATCATCTAGGGTAAGCACTTATTGATACACTAACCATGGCCAGTCCTGAGGATAGACTAGTTAAACATTATTTTAGAAAAACTTTATATATCTCTATAATCTATATAAATCTCCAAATTATGTAAAAAAAAATTATATAAACCTTTAATAAATTATATAGCCCATATAGTTTTATAATTATAATTGTATAGAATCTTATAATTTCGATTTTGCTTTTTGTAGAAATGCTGGGTTTGATCCAGCTGTAATTAGGATAGACCCATATGGGAATGTACTCTACTTCCACGCTGACTCAGCTTCTCCTCTTGCTTGGGGTTTTGATCATTGGTTCCCTTGCTCAAGTACACACCATCTTCACTCTATCTCCTTTTATGGTTCATGTTTGTTGTCTATTTTAGTTAAAAGCTTTTTGAAATTTGATGTAGGAGGAGGTTTAACAGTACCAAGCAACCTACGGATAGTGCAGTGGCAAGCACGCAAGAACAAGAAGGACAAACTTGAGTTCCTTGTACCATGGTGGGATCTTCAAGTCGGCATTTCAGTGAACCAGTTCATGTGCATCTTCGCCGCTTCGAGTTCTGATTTCAAGAAGAGAGCGTTTTCATTCTTGTTCAAAGAAGGTGAAAGCGAGGAGCTAAACGGCTCACAAACAATTGACTCACATCGTTTCCCACAGCATTTTGTTGAAGCAAAAGACAAGTTTGGTCTTGCCTCAGCTGCAGTTGTTGTCTCTAGAAGAGAGCCTTATGACCCTTCATTAGTATTGAGATCACTTGATCCCAATCGTCAACAAACACCTGGTTAGTTAGTTAGTTAGTTAGTTAGTAACTAACTACTAACTCTTTGAACTTTTCTTTTATCTATTTGCTATATTGAAAGCAACTATGTGTATAATGCAGCGAGGAAGATGAAGGAGACTCCGGATTTAATGAAGAATCCTTATCAAGCCATTGTTGCTGCAAGGGACTCACTGAGAAACCGGGAGGAAGCGCAGAGTATGAGAGTTGAGATGAAGAAGTTAGATGATGAAATGAATGATCTGAAGAGTAAGAACAGTGAGGAGCAGGTTTCTATTCAGGAGCTTGAGAGTGAGCTTATTAAACGGAGAAGAAGAGCTGAGAAGTGCAGGAGATTAGCAGAAGCTCAATGCTCTTATAGGAATACACTTGAGAAGATGATCCGTGATGCTATGCACCAGTAAGAGATTGATTTTCTCTTATATACATACCATTTGGATATGTTTAGCTCAATGAATGTTGATTGGTTTTGATTTTTGTTTGTAGGAGTGTTGTGTATAAGGAACAAGTGAGGTTAAACCAGGCTGCAAGTAGTGCACTGATGGCGAGATTAGAGGCGCAAAAGGCGATATGTGATGGTTCAGAGAAAGAGCTTCACAAGAAGTTTAAAGAAAGAGAGGAGCTGGAGAGTCAAGTGAGGCCTGAAATAGAAAAAGCAAGAAAAAGATCAAGAATCTTGCTGAGTGATGAAGATGACTTTTTGCAGGTAGAGGATAGAGACAGCAAGTTGTCTTTGTATCTTCCTGGAACTAGTGAAGATACATCATTACAAAAGGAGTTAAGAGTGGACCTTGAAGAAGAACACAAAGCAGTAGCTTCTGAGGTTAAATCACAGAAGCATGAGGAAATAGAGGAAGTAGAAGATGTCCCTGAAAAGTCTCTTGTTGCATTAGAAAAGCTAGAAGAAGGGAAGAGAAGCAGCAGAAGCTTTAGAGCATTACCTGTATTCAATGAACCAGAGATTGAGGAAGATGAAGAAAGCAGGAGAGAGAGAGGGAAAGGAAACGTTGAGAAATGGCTCCATGTTCTACTTGAAAACAACAGTAAAGACAATCCACAAGACCTACAAGCTGATGAAAGAAGCAAGAAGATTGATGAAATGATAGAGAAACTAGACCACAAGTTCCCTCTACTTGAAAAGGTTAGTGAAGAAGAAGATCTGGACCTGCAGGAGGAGGCAAAGAAGGTGGAAACAAGAGCTGAAAGCAGCTCACGTAGAAGCAGAACTAGTTTTGATCTGAAGAACACACCAGAGAAGAGTGGGAGAGACAAAGTGGTGAAGAGATCAGAGAGTGCCAGAGCTTTCAGAAGGATCCCATCATCTCCTTCACTCTTCTTTGGATTGAAAAAGGACTGCGTCAAGAAGAAGCCAGTGGTTTCAGGTCAAGACGATGAGAACGAGTATCTTGTCAAAAACAACTTCATCAAGTCATCTTTCCAAACTATCAAACGAGTTGTCAAATTCTAGACAACAACATTTTCATAATATATGCATTTGTTCTATTGTGTGATCAAATATTGTTTTGTGTATAAAAAAAAGACTTCCTCTCCAGCTTGTTGTGTTGTTTTCATATGAACAAACACCAAAACATTGATTCAGAAACAAGTCACACGCAGGTCTTTAACAAAACAAACAACCACCTTAAAAACATACACAACTACTTAAAGCAAAAAGGTTCGAGAGAAAGACAGAGAACGATGGGAGGGAAACAAAAGACTATTCATTCATTCTTGGCCAGATTTGTTGATAAGAGACTTGTGAATGTGAGGAATGACACCACCACCAGCAATAGTTCCTTTGATGAGAGTATCAAGCTCCTCATCACCACGTATAGCGAGCTGCAAATGTCTCGGTGTGATACGCTTTACTTTGAGATCTTTGCTCGCGTTACCAGCGAGCTCCAAGACTTCTGCGGTTAGATACTCCAAAATAGCGGCTGTGTAAACCGCTGCGGTTGCGCCAACGCGTCCGTGAGCGGTTGAACGCAGTTTCAATAGTCTGTGGACTCTTCCTACTGGAAACTGCAAACAAAAAGGAACATAGAGAGAGACACACACAAGATATGTGAATCAGAAGCTAAAGACAAGAAACGTGTACTTGTCTTTAAAAGCAGTTATGGACTTAAAAGATTCAACAGTATCATTAAATATGAAAAAAAAAAAAAAGCTCAGGAATTAAAACAGAACATAGGATAAACTCAACTCGATCTCTAGAGTATTTATAATCTATTACATAAGAAATTCAGAAACTCGTAGATCCGTGACTTATACGTTTCACACATCCCAAGAGAAGGAAGAAAGAGAGAGAGACCTGGAGACCAGCACGAGAAGAACGAGTAGTGGGTTTCTTCTTGTCTTTGTCTTTGTCCTTGTCGTTGGATTTGCCCATTATCAGACCTTTCGCTCCTTTTCCTGACATTTTCCCGCCGTAAATAAAACAAGTATCACCAGTGTCTTAACACGAAGAGATAGAGAGAGTGTGTGTTCTGTTGGAGAGAGAGAGAGATCCGAAGCTGATAGAAGTAGATGGACGCCTTTCTCAAGTCTAGTCAAGCCGATTGATTGACTTTTTTATCTGTCTTGGATAGTTAAATTGACATTTTTTACCCTCGGCCCAGGTCCACCAAAAGCCCAAGAAAGCCTATATTTAGTTTTAATGGATAAAAAATAACAAACTGGTCCTTCTATTTAGTTTTAATCAGAAAAGTATCTCTATAATTTGATACGGATACATTATTTCCTTGCAAATAGCCTCTACTGTTTACGTTGACTCGTTTACACATAGAGAATTATTAACATTAAGCCATACCAGATACAATTAGTTTTTTTTTTCCATCAATCTCATTAGATACGTTTAGGTATATCCTACTTTTAGTTGAGTTTTGGTCGTTGATTCCTGATGTTTGACTCTTCATCATTCTCAAGCTTTCTCCTCAAATCCTTCAAATCTTCATCACCAATGTTACCATTCATCTTCTTGTTCAGTGCATATGCTTCACCCATCTTCCTCTTGCACTCCTTGCTTGCTTCATCATGCATAACCACTGCCAACAACAGACCCAGAATTATTTGTAAAAGACTTTTCCTTCCATATGTATAATAAACAGTAACTTTGATATTCCAGGCAACCACATGAGTTACTAAAACTTCATGATACTGATTTTTAGGTAGACACAATCATATTCTTTTATATCTAAAAATGTATATCAGTATATGCAGGTAGAGAGACGGGAATACTAACTTGGCTTCGGGTAGTCTTTCCCCACTATGCATTTAGCTTTAGTTTGAACGCTCAGAGGCGCTGTCCATGGCTCATAAATATACTGCTTTGGCATATCTGAATCATAACAACTTATTAGCCCGTGAGAGCATAAACTGGTAAACAAACTTACCACTAGGGTAATGAAACTAGCTTCAGTTACCTTTCAGTACCGGGAGAAAATGCTTGATGTACTTTCCATCAGGATCATACTTCTTTCCAAAAGATATAGGAGAGTATATGCGGTTGTACTGAATACCACCACCAAAGAAACATCGTCTTAGAGAATGTAAGCATATGACTAAAGAAACTTTGGAAACACAATACATTCATATGGTAAATGATGGATGTGATGCTTAAGATCTATTTAACAAATTGCTTAACAAAGAGCTTAAAAAGCCAATAAAGAAAGGAGACAATGCCTGGTAAAAGAAGGAGGAACATGATAACCACATCCAGTTCCCATTATTAATTGCCCAGTCTGAATCAATCAAAAGCCTCTCGAACACATCACGTCCTTGTTCCCAATGTATGAACTACCACCATAAACATTATGCATGTCAAGTGAAAGTTTTTAAGAAAGAGAGAACCAATAACAGTAGAGGCAGCAGCATTACCAGATCCCCGCGAGTTAGGAAACAGGCTACACAATGACGAGCTAGGTGGTGCATCCAACCCCATTTCAGAAGCTATAAATTCCAGTGACAGAATGATTCATACAAGGAAAGGCTAAAAGAATTCACTTAAGACTAAAATCAAACCTGAATCATGATGGCATCAATCCAAGGGTATCCTGTCTTACCGTCCCTCCAAGCAGCCAACATATCATGATCCTCTTTCCATGGAATCTAGGTTACATATGGAACAAAAGTGGTCCAAAAAACGTTAGAATATCCTAAGTAAAAGAAACTTGATAAGAGAATACTCAAGTTGTTATTGAGATACCTGTTTGCAGATTGGGTTTCCCTTCATTTTGTCAAAGTTACGAGTTCCAAATGCAGTGGTATAGAAAAATTCTCGCCACAACAACTAGATAGACAAAAATAGAGAGATATAAACTTTCCGTAGTCAGACAGCATAAGAAACTGTTAGTCAATGACTGACCTGTCCAAGGAGAGAAACTGGGGGTGATGAATGCTTCTTCACATCCTTGTAAACACGTTGAAGGCATTGATAAAAGTACCTCGAAGAAAGGCATCCAAACTTCTCCATAGTCAGGTAATATAGAGCGAAAAATGGAGTGAAAAGCTTAAGTGGAAAAATTATCTCTGTAACTTACTTTCAAATAAGGTGACAAAACAGTAGTTGCAGGCTTCAAGAATGCAGATGGATCTCCCTTTGGTTTCTCAAAGTTAGCCACCCATGCCTACACTTCAAATTAAACACATAAACGGTTTACAATCCTATTGACACTGATAAAAAGATATAATATCCCTGGACTAAATAGCTTCCAAGTTCTTGATAATACCTTATCACTGATTGACTTCCTCAATCGTTTCAAGGCCTCTGATTCACCACCTCTAAAAGGAGTCAATTCATCCTACATACATTTACTTACACAAGCATAAGTTTCTCACGTAGAAACATTCTTAACTACTCAAAAGAAACAAGATCATCTCTTAACTTGTTCATCATCTCTATAACCAAGCTCCTCAAGTGTCGGTACTTCCGAAACTCCAAGACTCCCAACATCTCCAACCGGCGGAAGTGAAGAATAAGACATCACAAGTTCAGAATTAACACAAGAAGGCTCCCCAGCAATCTTCAAAAACGACTGATAACTCAAAGGTGCCTTCCCACCATTCTAACTCGCAATAAAAAACATAAACACAAACCCTAAATCTTCACAGTTCCATAAATTCAAATCCAAAACAAGAGCAAAAGAACTTACTTTCTTTATAATCTCAGTGGGATTGAAAAGAGTATGACTCACTGGAGAGAAAACCTCAACACCAATTGAAGAAGCATACTCCTACAGAACATCTATCTTATTATTAACATCAAGTAACTAAACTCTCAACTTTTTTTTCTTTTTAAGGCAAACAGTTAAGTTTTAATTTAAGTTTGTAGTTCAAACAAACGTACAAATTAGTGTTTTACAGCACGGTTACATCTACATTATATGCTGCTTGAGGCTATTAACACAAAATAAAATTTTAATATTGTTCTTTAAACATAAAATTTAATAGGACAAACCTGAAACTATATAAAACTAAATTATATAGAATATATCCAAAAAAATAAATCTGCGCGGAGTCATGATCTAGTAACTTAGCTAAAGCAAGAACAAAACTTTATAGGCGTAATGTTTATTACCTTAACTCTAAAGTCAAGAGCTTGGTAATAAGGATCAGTATCATACTCAAAGCAAAGCCTCTTCACCTTCCACTATCATAAACCAAAACCAATTTTCACAAAAGTTTTGAACTTTCCACAGTAACACTGCCTTTTACGGTTTTACCTCTTGCAAGCAACGAAGTATGACATCACCCGGTTCACCTTTCAAAACCAGCAATCTCGAACCGAGTTTTTTAAGACTAGAATCGAGATCATTGAGACTCTCCAGCAAGAACCGGATCCGGTTTACTCCTGCACGTGACGAACCGGGGGAGAACGCAGATTGGTCCGGTTCCATGTAATGCGGGTCGATGACGAAAACCGGGTACATGGAACCGGAGCCTTTTGAGGCGTGTTCGAGAGCCGGGTTGTCGTGGACCCGGAGACTTTTACGGAACCAAACCAGTGAATTGGTTTCGGTAGACATGGATGTTATGGGGTTGAGATGGTGACTTGAAGGTGAAGAGACAGAGGAGGGTAATCGTCGCATGGAGTTTTGTCGGATAATTCTGGGTAATTTTCGCGCCTTTTTGAGAAAAAATGGTTCATGAGAGGGGGAGATGGTTAACGTGCGGTTAAAATACGCTCGCAATGTTGTGTGTTTGCTAATGTGCGTGTAAATGGGTGTAAGATAGAGGAAGGGTATAGGTTATTCTCAAACGGTTGTGTTTGTTCCACGTCATTATTATTGTGGAAGAACATTTGAGTGATGTGTTCAATTTTCCAACGTTATATAGTCAGCTTGAACTGGAACTAACAAGTACCAACCCAATGCATTTGTGATTCCCAATTAGGGTTTTCGATTTCGGATTCCTAGCCTCCCAGGACTGAATGAGGCGAAACCTCAAAGACGCTTCATATGGACCGAGAGAGACATCCCTGAAGAACATCAGAGAGTGGAGAGCAATAGGAGCTTTTGGCGTCGTCGGAGTGGAAGCCGTAATAGGAGCCTTGTCGTGACGTTTGGAGACAATCGCGGTGGAATCGGAATAGTTCCCCATTGGTTGAGCAGTCACGGAGAAAGAGTTCTCCTTTAGTTGAACAGTCGCGGAGGATGACAGAATCTTCTAGTTGGTTTTCTTGGGTTCCATCGGATCGTTTGTGAAAGAGAGTAGAGGTTCTTAAAATTTTAATCGAAAGAGAAGCTAAGAAGGGGGGCCTATAAATACAAAGTTGGTGAGGAAAGTGAAAGGAGAAACCCATCTCATCTGAGAAACTGAAAGATTGATGAGATAAAGCCAAGAATTGATTACAAAAGAAGTGGGTTTGATTACTGGAAAAACTGAAGAGAAATTAGCTCATCTCATCCGAGGAAGTCTAAAGGTGAGAGAGGTGATGAGTTTCTAGGATTCTTCACGACAACAAATGAAAACAAATTAAAATTCAGACCGAAATCAAACCGGGATGCGGTAATAAAACAAACCGGATCCGAATTCGCAATTGGATTTCGCAGAGACAAATCAATTCACAATTGAATTTCTCAGACACAAACCAAAATAACGTGGCTATTTAAAACCTTATTATTGGTTAAATATTTCTGGTGATGTGGACATGTTAAAAAGGCTTAATTTTCCCCTTTTAATAGTAGTTGATAACCATGCTTAATAGTCAAAACAGTAGTTCAAACATTAGAATTTGATAAAATTCAATGAAAAAATAATTCAATCCAAATTCGAAAAGCGAGTAGAACCAATTGGAGTAATCGATCGACTAAGATTTAATTGATCATCGCATATTATTATTGACTCTGTTTTTGTCTTCATGCAGGTTGACCACAGATAATCGTAGCCTTAGGAAAGATGATGTGGGCTAAGCCTATATGGACTTGTCTCTATGGGCCCATTCCAGTTTTGTTGCTGTGGACTGCGGCCTGAGAAGTGTTTGAACTAATAATCGTCACTGTGTAATTTGACACGTACGCGTTAATCTGAAGTAGAGTGTGACCAAGTCTCCCAAAGTGCCGGACACTAAAAAAAAGGAGCATCAGTGAAGAGATTCGGACAAAAAAAAAGAAAAAAACGGTTAGGAGGGATTCGCTAATCCATCGAGGTGTGACCTGAGAACACGTCATCAATTCGTAACCATGTGGAGAAGACTCGTCTCCTCTCATCTCAAAACCCTAGCCTCCGATATCGCCGCCGCTTCTCCTCGCCGATCGATATCAACCACCGTTAGACCGGTTCGCTTCTATCTCTCCACTCCCGCTTCTTCTTCCATCATCCCTCGTCGTTTCAGCTCCGAATCAGGTTGATACATCACTCCTATAGTTTTTTACCGTTATCAGATCTCGGATTAGGATTCTGTTTATGGTTGATTTAGGATGCAATCGTAGCCGTGTAATTGTATAATGATGGATTTGGATTTACTGTCATTCTCTTTGTCGATTATTTGCTACTGAATATGTGCAAGAGCGTGGTGAATGATGGTAATTACCGTTTTGTCCTTTTTTTGGCAGTGGAGACGGTTGGGAAGAAGAAGGTGGAGGATGTGATGCCTATTGCAACTGGACATGAGAAGGAGGAGCTTGAAGCTGAACTTGAGGTGATTTATTATTTTATTTTTTTTCGTTTGTTTTGATCTTTAACATATGTATAGAAGTACTCTGTTACCCCTCGATGAGTTTCTCGCATTACGATGGAGTATTTATCTCTGCTTGATTTAAACTCTTCAAGTTCAACTGAGGAAATGAAATTTTAACTTTTGTTATTGTAATCTTTGGGGGGCAGGGGAGGAGGCTGCTTGACATTGACTTCCCTGAAGGTCCTTTTGGAACTAAGGTTAGTTTTACTTTCTATTACCAGAGATTGGTCGTGATTCTCACGTTGAATGTCTTAATGTTTTTTTTTTTTTGAATGTCTTAATGTTATTATCACCGCCAAGCTTCGTATCAGTATTTTTAGCTATCATAGACTTTATACTGAACACCCAGCACAGTTAGTTTATTGACGTATGTGGACCACCCTTTGTTATGATCTGTATTATTCTATCACCCAGAAATAATTTCTGCTATGTCTAATTTAAATTTTGTCTAATTGTCGTCACACTAAAAGATTTTATTGGTGAAGAATGTAATATTAGTTCCCTGGATAAAGCACTTATCTTGGATTTGAATTTTATATGGGGTTTGGTGCGTTCAACAAGTCTCTAAGCTGTGTTTGTTAGTTTAACTACGTCCACTACCGATGACAACGATGATCACGAAATTATTGCAGATGTTACATACAAAATGTGCAATTGTCTGTAGATCATGAAAATTCATTACTTAGCATTCCTAAGTATCTTTTTCTAGATTACTGATGTCATATAGGTTTTGCATACTGTATAATTACTGATGTGAGGTGCTAAATTTGCATAAAACATCTGATTTTTATTTTTTCATTTTCTCATGTCGTTTTATCTCATGAGTGAGCACCATTCATTCTCGTTTAGATACCATTTGATAACAATGTTATCATCTTATTGATACCAAAATTGTGTTTACCTCAGGAAGCTCCTGCAATTGTAAAGTCCTACTATGACAAGCGAATTGTGGGATGTCCTGGTGGTGAAGGCGGTAAGTTCACCTCGTCATGTCTCTATAATGGCATAAACTCCAAGTTTTTGTCTTTATTGAACATTTGATACATACATCTAACAAAAACAGTTTCACACATTATCTACCAAGACTTGTCTGATCTTTATTCCTTTTGAAAACTGCAGAGGATGAACACGATGTTGTGTGGTTCTGGCTGGAGAAAGGAAAATCTTTTGAGTGCCCGGTCTGCACTCAGTACTTCGAGGTAAGTTAAAAGCTGAATCAGATGATCCAAATAGTAAAAAAAAAAACGAAACGAGTCTCATCATAATCGCTTCATCACTCTGTTGAGAATTTCCATATATGAATAATTGAGTTGGTTGATTATGTATGAATTTTTGCAGCTGGAAGTTGTAGGTCCTGGTGGGCCTCCCGATGGTCACGGTGATGAAGACGATGAGCACCACCACCACTGATTCCAGCTTCTTAGTTGCCACCGGCGAGTTTAACATTCTGTTTTCACTTTGTTTTCATATATTATACTACAATTTTTGTTTGTTGGAATTTTAAAAAAGAAAAAAACTCCACCGTAGTGAAACACACAGTTAAAAGTCTTTTTGATCGTTTTAGAACAACACTTATAATGGTTGAGAAAATGTTAAACTCTTCTTACATGAAGTCAGTTTAACACAATTAATTATCTTTTTTTTTTTTGAACACCCAATTAATTATCTTTAATCAATAACTAACATAGGCTCCAGACATCTGGTTCAGGCTCTTTTGTCTGAACCACGCCGGCTACTAAACCAATTCACACGTGCGTAGCTTAGTTTGTCACGTACGAGTTAATTAATTTAAAGTAAACAGTGACCAATTCCAAATAAGAATCTGAGCAAAGAGACGAGCATTGGAATCGGTTTCGCTCTTCCCTTCGAGATCACACAAAAAGTCATCATGTGGAGAAGAATAGTCTCCTCTAATCTCAAAACCCTAGCGGCAGATGTCACCGCCGCTTCTTCTCCTCGTCGATCGATTGCCACAACCGCGAGACACGTTGGTGGCTTCTCTCTAACCGCCAATCGATCAGCCGTTTCCGTTATCCCTCGCCATTTCAGCTCTGAATCAGGTTCATAAATCCGTTTTTTTTTTTCAGATCTTTTGGCTATATGTGGTGGATTTAGATTCAGGTGATAAATCTAGCTGTATTGGTCTCTCTTATTATTATTATTAGTTTGTTACTAAAACAGAAGCATGTAGATTGGTTTAGTTCTGTTAGAGGTAGTGTACTTTGGTCTGCCTGCCCTAATTTGATGTTGGAGAGTGAATGACTGTTATACCCTTTTGTTATCTGCAGTAGAGACGGTTACAAAGAAGAAGGTGGAGGATGTAATGCCGATTGCTACTGGTCATGAGAAAGAAGAGCTTGAAGCTGAATTGGAGGTGACTCTCAATGCATTTTTAATCATTCATATATGAGTAGTGAATTA